ATCCTAATCACATAGTTAGATATCATGCAACAAATTACATATCAAATAAAAAACCAATGAAGATGAACAAATAATTAGTGCAAGAAGTAAACTAATAGACATTGAAACAAAACAAGTATTAATGCAAACAATAGTCAAATACATAGTCACTGATAGAAAAAAAATCTCAAATACATTTAAAATAAATGTAGAAAACAAAAAGTACATTCAACCATATCATACAAACATCAATGCAACCAGTAAAATAGAAAAATAAAAACCAATGTCTTTAACCATGGGATTGTAACCAATTCATGAACATCTCTTATGCTAGGTTATCTTTAAACTAAATCCAAACATTACTTGGTTCAACATGTCTAATCAAATCTTAATGCTCAGATCCATCTTGTTGGCTATTACTCACTTCAACAACATCACTTTCAATAATATCAATTACTATTTCAGTCCTAATAAAATTATAGAGAAAGTAGTAAGTAGAAATGATTCTACATTGTGTTTTTATTAGATAAAATGATTTCTCACTTAAAATTACCCATTTAGCTTTAATATACTAAAACATCTATCGATACAATTTCTTACTTGAAAGTGTTTCATATTGAAGTATTTCTAGAGTGTCGTCGGTTGGTGTCCTGGCCTCCAATCATTCAAATGGTACTTTGACCTTTATAAAGTGTCAAAAAACCTTTCTCATTTATGTATCTAGCATCAAACAAACAGTAAAAATATATTCAAGTTTCATAACATTAATACACATAAAAAATTATGTTTTATACAAAACTAAAACTAAAATATTAAAGCTAATACCTTGTGGGATCTTTAACCTATTTTTACATGTAATAGCATTTTTTAGCACTCTATCATCTGCTGCATAACGTTTTCATCTTGATATAACATATATGAATTGCATGTCTAGAGTCCAAACACCAACAACATTTATAGCAATTTTATTTTTTCTAGTCTTGTATTTAAGCCTGTTAACTGAGTCTACATTTATTTTTATGCATGTTCCATCTAAGGCACCTAAACAACCCCTAAACCATTTTAATCTATTATTTGTTGAATTCTCCAGTATCAATTTTAATTTTTTAAATAACAGGGAATGCAGTTTCAAAATAAAATTCAACATAGCATGAAATTGCTTACTAATTGTCTCTCCAAATCTAGCTACATGATGCTTCATAACCTTATTTTTTATATGATGAGCAATGATGTGAAAGAAGCTAATAACTATTTCTTTTATTAACATATGTCTAGATGCCTTTAATCTTTTTTGTGTTTGATGTAACTGACATAATTTTGTAAAATCTTTCCTATCTATTAAACAATTATCTACACTTGATCCATTGCTATAAAAAAACTACCTTGTTTAAGTTCAACTCCTTAATTTGAAGCCTATAATGATATTATCAATATAAGATAGTCTACATCTATTTCTAAGTTTTATTGCAATTAATGTCATAGCAATGATGACTAACAGTTGAAACGTTGTCTCCATATGATTTAATTGTTAAATAAACATTGTTACCAATTGCATCTTCTTTCTTATTAATAAACGAATCATAACTATTTAAAAAATTTTTTCAATATTGAAAACATGTTGAAAGCAAATATGTACATTTGGTATATGGAATCTAAAACACATCTAACAAAAAACAAAAATTAATAACAAAACATTTGTGGATTAAAAACAAAAACCAAAATGAAGAACACATATGATAGATTAATAACTTTCAATTAAGATCTAAATGAGATCTAATAAATAAAATAAGAAGACATTTAAATCAAACAAATAATGTAAAATAGATCATTTGTAATAGATTGTAGACTTACTATTTACATATTAACAGAAGATAAAATGAATAGAATGAAGATGAAATCATGAAGGTTAAATTTGATTTGGTTGATACAGAAAAGACTTTGATTAGAGTTCTACGATGTTGTCTGAAAAGAGAAAGTGGTCTTTGTAATTCAAAAAGGTACTTAACAAATACGACATTTCTTATGTCAAAAATGTTGTCGTTGTTAATTGATAGCAAAACGAAAAAATAGGTGATAAATTAATTTATAAGAACTATAACCTTTATTTCATGAAAAATGTCGTTATTGATAGAAATTACAGCGTTTTGTTCATGAAAAACATCATGGTTGTCTAAAAAAAGACAACAATAATCCTCAAATAATGTGTTTCAAATCCTCAAAGATATGATGTTTTGGTGTTGGAAAATGTTGACCTTGTATTAAAAAAAACCACAAAAAAATCCACAAATTTCAAATCCTAACAACCACGATGTTTGGTTCATAAAAAACGTCATCATTATATTAAAAAAATTTTAAAAAAAAATTAATCTACAATTATTGCGTTTGGTTTCCTAGAAACATCATATTTGACATTGAAAAAAATAGTACTTAAATACTACGTTAAACTTCCAAGAAATGCAGTATTTGTGCTATTTGTTTTCAATATTACGTTTGTAAATAAGAAATCAAAATTAATTTTCTTTTCATATATTGATTTTCAAAAAGGCAAAATAGAATGAAATAATTTTTTTATTCAGGATAGATAAGGGATAAAAATAACTTTCCTCCCAGAGTCATAGAAAACTACAGAAAGATGTGAGTTTATGATTTTGAAACTTTTAGATACTATTGAAATCTAAAATTACCTCAAGAATCAAAAACCCCTAAACCAAATATAAAAATCAAATTCTTACAAACAAGATTTTAAAAGAAAATGTCATATTCCTCCTAACCAAATGCCCCTAAAATCCTCTTAAAATGAAATGTGCAAATGACAACTCTATTTCTAGTAAGATGCATCTAAATGTAAATTAAATGCTAATAAAAATATATTTTTTTAATATTTATAAGTTGTATTGAGAAAAAAGTGTTGTCATTTAATACATTTTACATAATTTTTATTCACTTGGATGATCATAAAAGCATAACATAAAAAGGTGAAAAAAGGTCTACTACTAGGGAAAAAAGAAACAAATAATAACTAATAAGCAATGCTATTATATATATATATATATATATATGATGTTGTAATTTTAAAATTAAAAAAATTATAAATACTATAGTTTGTATTTTAAATTTATTTAATATTATTTTTAAAAATGATTGAATGAATTAATTTAGTTAAATTCAAGATTAAATATGCTTAATTTGCTTCTTTTTTTTTCATTTTCATTTTACCAATAAAAACATAAAAAAAGTGATTTGAAATATTTAATGATAATTTACCTGCAATTTATCATTAAAAAATTTTCACATTCCATTTTCTACTTCTCTACTAATATACCATTATATATCTCATAAACAAAGGTTTCATTATATTATTAAAGGTTAAAATAATTTGAATTTTATTAATTTATTTAAATACTTTTATATATTTTTATTATACCTAAATAACTTGTAAATTTTAATTTGTATTTAAATAAATTTTTAACCTTTAATTTTATTTAAATAAAATTTTAATATAAATTAATTTTTTATTTAAAACAAAATTTATTGGGATATAAATAAAAATTAATAATTTTTTAAAATATAATAAAAATATAAAAATTTATCTAAATAAAATGATTAAATTCATGAATTTTTTTAATATTTTAACCATTATTAAATAACTAAACCACGCCACATATTACAAGGTAAACAATTAAACCACACAACAGCCCCTGCAGTAAAAATGGACAAAGGAGCCTCATCGCCCAAATCTCCGCCTCCATCCCCACCGCAGCAAGCGGCGCTCCACCAGGACGACGCCACCGATGACGATAAGAACTTGAAGCAGCTCAAGGAATGCTTTACTCTCTACTTATCCTTGCAAGTAAATAAAAAATCTTTTTCCTTTTTTTCTTTTTTTAAACCACTCTAAAACCCTACTTAAACCCTCTTTGTTATATTCGCTGCATATATATATATATATATAAGAGCAATAGAATTGGAAGCTTTGTCAAATGGGTATGCTTTAAATACCTTCATTTTCTTGTTGCTGGAAAAAAGAAAAGAAGAACAATTGGAAAGCTTGAATCTTTGAGCAAATTTCTGCTTTTTTTGGATAGAGGTTCAAGCTTTGAAGGCATGCAACGAGAGGAGGAAGAACAGTAAAGGGATGTGAAACTTTATGCTGTAAGAATGAGGAAAATCACCTCACAAATTGAGAGCAAATTTTTTGTTTTTTGATGTTGATTTTGTCTGAGAAATGTCATGTAATAGACTCCATGTTTCTTTGATCTTGGAAAGTAGTCTGCAAAAGATGTTTTTTCATTACAATTCATCATATTGTTGTACCAAAAATACATTTTCTCTAGCCTTCTGGTCAAAAGTATTCGTTGAGTCGGTTCTATTAATTTATATCTGAATTAATTAAAATTAAATTAATTAAATTATATGAATTATATTATTTTATTTTTATTAACCGAATTGGATTTATAGTTCGATTAATTTTTTCAATTAATTGAATAATAAATGTATTAAAATTAAATTATATTTTAAACTTTTAATTTTTTATATTTTAAATAAATTAAATAAAATTTTCTAACAAAATATTCAAATACCAAAAAAACTCTAACAATTTGTGAAATATAATGATCTATTTTGTATTTATCATTTTATATATGAATTTTTTTTATATATTGATTAAAATTTTGATTAATTAAGTTAATTTGGTTTTTAACTAAATTAACCGAAATATGAAATTATTTTAAAATTATTTTTTTAATTGATTAAAATTAATTCAATAACTAATCGATTCGATTAATTTGATTAAAATTGAATTATGAACACTTCTACTTCAGGCAACGATAGGACTGCTCAACTAAAATAGATATTATGGAGAAAACGAATGAAAGTTTTCAGAAAAAAAATGCTCAATAATGAGAATGAATGAGATGGATATGAGTCAGCTATGGCCTTCCTTGAATGTCAACCAATCCCCAAACACTTTCGAAGATCAAAATGAAAGTTTCATGAACACTCGAAGTCACATAACGCATTTTAACTTTTTAATCAGCATTTTGGGCTTTGCAAAAATATGTTTTATCAATTTACTTCTGATACAAGAAATTTGGTAACTTGCACACTATCTTTCATTGAAAATAGGTGGATTTGTAATCTTATATTTGTTTCTGTATGATGAGAAAATAACAAGGCTTTGCTCCTTTTAGGCAGCCATAGTTTGGGAATGGCCATTGTAGGGTATTTGAGTGTAACTTTCTTGAGTGCAGTACATGAGAGTTTCATCAGGCAAGGAGATCAAAGGCTGAACTCTTTTACCAAATATTATCTTAAATAAATGCCCTTTCTCCCAATTAAATTATCATTCCTCCTCGACAAAGCCTACATGGAATTGAAAAAATTAATAAATCAAAAGCAGCTTTTTACACTCTTTCAAGCTTTCAACAGAGCTGGAATTAGAATACTACTATAACTATACAACATAGATTATAAAACCTGTTAATGTATCATTATGTAGTTGATATATCTTACATGAAAGCAATCAAGGTATATCTCTGCCTCACCATGATCCCAGCAGTGCTGGAAACATTTGAGGTCTCCTCATGGTTATGCTTTAGAGGGGTGTTCTTCCTCGAAAGAACGTATTTATTGCCTAATTCCTGTTCCATCTTGTGATCATCATCATCAACTCCAAACTTGCTAACATAATTTCGTTGAATCTCTCTGAAATGGATCCTTTTCTCTACATGTTTGAAATACCAGGTGCAAAATCACAGCTAGGAGTGCGCTTTTCCTTAACAAATATCATGGGGTTAACAATCATGTTATCAGCAACATTGGCGAGATGTCATAGGGCCTTGAGATCATTCACCATGAGAATATCGTATGTGAAAACAAATTTCCCTTTGCTTCCTTTAGGCTAAGGCTAACCAACACCCTGATACCAGCCAAACAAAACTGTGTCAGTTTATAAAAAAAAAAAAGAAAGATTAATACTTGAGTTCAAATATTAGATTTGATCAAATCATATTTTACATACAAGGTGGAAAAAGATGAAGCATTTACCTTTTCTAGACAGATACTAACCATTAGTGATTAATAAAAACCAGTCCACCCTGCATACCTACATGAGTGCGACAATGAAGATAACACATTTGAATTTATTCTGCCCACATAACATATCAACTGACTATAGATCGATACATTTTATTTTACTTGTAATGACTCAGAATCCAACAGGAAAAAAACAAAGGAAAGCTTCAATCCCTAGTTTTCTCCTACTTCTCGGGACATTTTTCTATTTGGTTTCATTTCAAATATTTTCAAGGGTTTCTCCATTGAGTCAAGCAACGGAGATGGTGAGACGCCAACTCACCCAATGGTAAAATGAGACAGGTAACAAATCTAAAAAAGTAGGCATGAGGCAGCTTCTGGAAGGTCAACTAATCTGATAGTAGCAGTGAAAGAAGAAGAATAGATGGCTCAAAAATATATGAACTATGAGAATATTCCAAACTATAGCTTGAGCAACCAACCAATTGCAAAGGCCTCTAATGCATCGGTGATGGAACAACAATAGCAGCAATTCAATTCATTGAAACACTAACGTTGGCAGGACTGCTGTATAAATGACAAATCACTTTTTACTGAACCATAGGTTTCAGATTCAGAGACACAAGACACATCAACACTTCCCTTGACCGATCTCATAATCATTGGCCTGTAATCTACTCCACTATCTGTGGCACCAGCACCTGACTGCAGTAATCCAAAGAACATTAGTTAATTACAATGCAATTAATGAAGTGAAACAGGAAATTAATACCTAAACTGATAGCATCAAAAGATTACACAGGATATTTACAAATTAATATCATACTTTCTATAATCTATGACCACTAAAATGTTTTTTAGATTAGAACTTTCCTACAATTTTCTATCAGGTAGGTAAGTACAAGTTGTATTAACTGCAAGGCATGATAAGCAATTAATCCACACTTTTTTTTTTTTAAATCAAGACAGATTACATGACTCATAGCATTAATTCAACCAGGATAATTTGACAAGCTTCTTCAAATTAAGTGCAAAGTTGAACTTTCTACCAAGCAATCCTAAAAGATCCTACTTCAATCAATTCTACAAAAGAATACAGCTGCAGGAGACAAAATTCAGCCATAAAGCAAAAATTGTATTTTTAAATATTGAGAACAGCCAGAGAAAGATTTAAATAATCCACACATTAGATAAGCCTTTAATCTGTACAATGATGATTGTAATATCATCAGTCCGATTTTCATGCTCCAACCATAGTTTGTAGGATTCTCCAGCAATTGCAGCACATGCATCCCTGGGATCTGTATATGCTGCTGCCTATGTGAAGAAAATTATAAATTTGTTAAGCAAATGCTCAAATTATGACTCAAATATGTTGCAGTAACCAGCAGGAGAGATAGATTTCTATATCTCAGAAAAGCCACTTATACATGATAATGAGAAAATTTCGTGATAGTATCAATAAGTGGAGAGTTCTACTAACAGTTCGAAAAGCAAACGACAAGGGAAAATTGTGTTGCACTTTCCTTTTAGAGTTTAATTATCAAACTTGATAGTATAATACAGGTTTACAAACATCATTTTGCAAGAAAAATGCATTAAAATCGAGTGTATAAGACACTTCAGCAATTTCTTGCAAATAAAAAGCAAATATATCTCATATCAGCAAACACTGGAATGTCAACAGATGAATGATGGATATACCATAGTATTATAAACAAATGGGAAACATAATGGTCATTAACTATTCCAAGAATTTGCATGTATCATACCATGTTGACAACAGTTTGACTAGGGAGAAACTGGAAAACTCCATCACTTGCAACAACAAAGAATAGATGATTAGGTGTAAGCTGAACAATTGAAATCTCAGGAACAGCAATCACACCAATCTTCTCCGCTGAACTATCTCCTACACTCCTTGTAAATGCAGTCCCAGGATTCAGTTCATTCGGAAGCCACAACCTAGGAGGATCATCACATTGACTTTCTTCATCACCCCAATATTGAATATCCGGGTCTTGAAGGCCTTCCACTTGACCAATACTCAAAACGCTGGCCCCACAAAGCTTCACCCTATCATATTCATCTTTCCTAAATGGTGTTTGATCCTCAGATAAATTTTCAGCCAAAATTTGATCCCCGTCCTTAACAGCAATCACAGCTCTTGAGTCACCCACATTAGCAACATAAAGAGTATCCCCAACAACAAGGACAGTTATCGCTGTGGTACCACTCTCAGTATCATCAATTTCACTATTATGCAACTCAGATTTTGTAGCTAAAAATGCTGAAGTATAAGCTTTTAAAGGATCATCCAACAATGCAAAGTCACTAGACAATATTTCTACAAGTCTATCCTTGACAAAGTTTGAACATTGAGCACCGAATTCACCATGTCCATCAAATACACCAAAGAAATGAACATTTGGGTTACCTTGAATTTGTGTTTTGATACAGAAACTATCTTCGTTTTCCCTCTCAACTGCGACAGGATAATAACCACGCTGTGTTAAGATTGAGTACTGCAAGGTTAAGTTGTGAGATGGAACAGGAACTGACTCCAATGACCTTTGTGTAAGAATGTGTTTGTTATTGTAAGGTTTCTTTTCTCCATGGTGACCTGAACCACCATCTGATGATGATGTATTTCTATTACAACACTTTCCATGAACACAACCCATGATTTAAAAACACAAAGTCACACAGAAAAAAGAATATAAAAAAGAATTTTTTTTTTTTCAATGTGTAGCTTAGGTGTTTGATAAAAGGCCTAAAAGAAACTGAATTTAAAAGGAGCATAAGGCATAGAAGGAAACAATTTCAGGTAAAAATGGAGAAATGGGTTGTTCTCAAATTTAACAATTTGGGTATTCTTATAGGAAATTTGGTAAAAAACCATGCTTTGAAGACAAGAAAATGAAGGGGAGTTAACAACGAAAAACAAAACCCAAAAGGAAGAAACGAACGAAATTTATGTGACAATGCAAACCACGAGAGTGGGTTTTTTGAGACAAAAAGGAAGAAATGGAACAGAGAATAAAACTTTGAACAAGCAAAAGAAAAAGGAAAGAGAAAAGTAGAACCCCAAATCAAGGCTGGGGAATAGAAGCAAAGGTTTTGAGTTTCTTGGGGGATTCCTTCTTCAATTCAAAGGAAAAGGGATTTGTACTTAATTTTTCTTGAGAGAAAACAAAGATCAGATGCTCAGAAAGGAAAAGAAAGGAACCAATGATTCAACCTAAGACCCCAAACAAGAATTTTAAAAAACAATTGAAAATTGCAAACACTAAAACTGAGGGGAAATGTGGATTTGTTTGCTTCAAGTTTTCAACTTTCAATAGAGAGTAAAAGGGCGAGAGATAATCGATGCGTGTGCATGGGTCAGTTTGTCCAGCCCGGGAAAAGCAAAAACGAAGAAAAGAAAATAAAGAAAAAAAAAGTTCATTTTCCGAGTAAACAAAACATTACAAACAAAAAAAAAGTACTTTTGTAATGAAATATTTTATTTATATAATTAGTGAAATAAACAATTACAATATCGAATAAATTTATAATTAATAAATAATAATTAATCAATTAAAAATAATTAAATAATTAAACTCACACATAATAATACTTATACTTAAGATGTCATGATTTTTTTTAATCTTCTAATTTTTTAAAAAATCATATTTTTTTCTATAAGGTGTTAATAATTTGTGTGGATGGACATTAATGATGCAAGTTTTGATTTTATTATGTAAATTCATTAATTCTTGAGATATTAATTAAGCTAATGAAATGTTAATGGGTAAGTAAGTACTTAATAAATATTTTATTTTAAAAAATTATGGTAAATATTTTAATAATTTTAATGATAGATAAAGTAGGATTCAATAATTCTAGTATTATTATCATGCACTAAGTCTAACTTTTTTCTTATAAATAATTATTTAAATTTTTTTCTACTTACAAAAATTAAAGTAATGTTAATCATCTTACTTTCTCTTATTAATTTTAGTTATTTAAATAGGATACATGTATCATTTTCTTTACTTTAAAAATCTTTCACTTTCTTGACTTTACTTTCTTTTTCTCTTTTTTTATTAATATTTATCTAATCATTTATAATAATTAAGATTATATTTTAAAAAATTATAATTAATATATTATTTTTATTAAATTTAGTAAAAATAATAAATCTAAATTTTTCTTACAATAATATTTTAATTATTTAATGTGTACTTATTAGCATAAATGTTCATGTTTTGTTCAAAATTTAATTGCTTCCTATTGTAATAGTTTCTAATTTTATGAAATTTCTTTTGATTTATATGTTAAAATCCTTTTTTTATATAAAAAAATATTGCAATTTAAAAATAAAAAAATGAATGGTAAATGTTAAGATTTAATTTTTAAAGTTATTAGATACTATCATTTAAAAATAATTGCATGAAGTGATTGTATTAAATTTTGGATACATCCAAACCCTTTTTACTAATGAATTTATCATTGCCATAGTTCAAATTATGATCAACATGCATATTCTTTTCATAAGAAAAAAACATAATCTTAGATTACTTTCCATCTCAATTTGTTTTGACTTTTTTTGGGCATATGTAAAATGGTTAATATTTATGTATATATTAGTTAAATTATTAGTTTTTATATCAAATTATTAAAATTCAATAGAAATAAAAGTCTAAAATATAAATTTCAATGAAAAATGCAAAAAGAATAAATTATTTATCCATTTTTATCACAACAAGTGCTTGTTACACGTGCAATGCACAAATTATCTTTATTTTATTTAAATATGAATAAAATTATAAATTAATATTATTTAATCATTTACTTGTTCAAAATATATGTAAAATATAAATAATATAAATAAGATATCAAATCATAACAAAAATATAATTTTTAATTAAAAATTTGACAAAATTTAAAATATACAATAAATAATATAAAGGAAAAAATCTACAAGATATTATAAATAATATTATTAAGTACGCCAACAAAATATTAAAATAGGTAAAAATGGTTTTTTTTTCAGTTGAAAGAAAAACATTGAATAGTTAAAAAAATTCTTAAATAAATATATTTTAAAAATTTTGGATAACCAATGATTTTTTAAATATATTTATTTAATTTATAAATAAAAAAATAATTAATTTTACTTATTTAAATAAAATATTACAAAAAAAATTATCTATTTAATTATTTTAAATCTAAATTGATTTTTTATTTAAAATTTCAAAATTTTGGATATTTTAATAATTTTTAAATATATTTTTTGATAGATAGTAAAATATATTGTGTGTCACTAAAAAGAGAAAATTTACGGATTTTCCTATGTGTTGAAAAGAGAAATTGTCCATGTAAATATCAACATCAACAAAATTTATCTGATAATTATGTATATTATAATATAATATAATATAATATATATATATGATGCCTAATAGTTTCATGTTTCTCCATTAAAATTTATTTATTGCTTTTGAATTATGTTTGAAATTTGAATTTGAGAATTTATTAAATAATTTAAGTGAAACCTCTATTTTATAATATTATTATATCAAGTGAGAACATTGGAAACAATATAAAATATACTTCATACATCCTAATTTTTTAATTTTTTCTAGATATCCCAAAATTATTCTTTTTTATTATTTTTGAGCACCTAATATGTATTTTTTTTTCTTAATTGAGTTTTGGGAAGGATTTTTCAGTGAAATAAGTAAAAAATCAGTAAGGCATGAAAGAGCATGAAAGAGAATATTCCAAACTATAGCTTAAGCAACCAACCAATTGCAAAGGCCTTTGATGCATCGGTGATGGAACAACAATAGCAACACTTTAATTCATTGAAACACTATGTTGGTAGTATAGAAATCAATTTTTTTTAAAATAAATGTTAATCAATTTTTTATTTTTGTTTGGATTCATTCAAATATTTTTATTTAACTTATTGTGAATCCAATTTATTTTATTATTATTTTTTTCTTTATTTCTTTTTTCTCGAAGGTTTTTGATGCATTTATTGCACCAAAAATTCATCATCGATAACTTTGAAAAACAACACCACAATTTGGTAATGTTAAAAATTTGATATTTGAATCCTAAAAAAAAATTAGGATTTGAATCTATTAAAGGCTCCATAATTGAGTCTTTCTTACAAACAAAAAACAAAAACAAAGGGAGGAGAAAAGAAACCCTGTCAAGCCAAAAAAAAAATCTTTTGAAAACTAAAACACTACAAAAATTTGTTTTTCAAATCTTTTATAAACTTTTTAGCTTTCCAAAAATCAAAGAAAAAACAACATAAACACATATCCCTTGGGAGGGGATAAGCAGAAAAAAAAAAAAAATATATATATATATATATAGGCCAAAGCTTTAAACCTTGATCTAGGTCATTTAAGATCAGTTTTCACAAAATGGATGCCAGATTGGGGATCAAGAGGTGAAAAAGAAGTTTTTTATAAATTTTGAGATTTTTTCGGTGACTAGTTGAGTCGGTCGATTATGAAAGAATGGCGGTCGGCAAGGCAGACCACTGTCAGATTCTAGAAAAATAAAGGGGGTGGTGGTTGTTTTCTAGAAAGAGACAAAGAAAAAGGGTGAAAAAATGAAATAAATTTTTTTTGGGGTTTTATGTTTAAAAAAAAAAAAGACGTTATTTCTTAAAGGATAAGATCTGCATGTGTACCCAAGACCCGACAAGGGTCTGTGCACCCGACCCAAAACTGACTTCAGTTGTCCAACCCTTGATTGGTCTAATCAAACCGGTCGAACCATCTTGTGAACCGTTTCAGACCAAAATGAGCCATTCCAAACCATTGAAAAATCACCTGAATCGCTCCTGAACCGTTGACCAATTGTTTTTGGTATTTTTTAATTTTTTATTATTTTTGTTTATATTTACGTTTTATATATTATTTTAATGTATGCATGTTTAAAATTTGAATTTGTTTGCGTATAAGATACTTATAAAAAAAAAGTATTAAATTAAAATTTATTTACATAATAATTTTACCATGAAATTTAAAAAATTAAAAATAATAAAATAAGAATAAATATATTTTAAGAAAAATATATTTCGAACAGTTGCAAATGTGCTACTAATAAATGAAAATATTTTAAGTTATATCCGAATGATGATGAATTTAAAAAAAATTCTAAAAATATTTTTTTAAAACAAAAATAAAACAAAATCAATGTTAAAAAATTTAGAAAATTACGAACAAGTAATTTTCTAAAGAAGATTATTTCTAAATTCTACCATAATAATGAAAAATTCAAGAAAAACAAAAAAGAATAAAATAGAACAACAAAATAGATTCAGACCTTTGCCTCAAAATTTGATTGGACTCAATATGAAAATAATTTGCCAATCCAACTAGCATATCTGAACGGACCTGAATAAAATCGAATATTCATTTGGATTTATTTTGACACAAATTTTGTTTTCTGGACAAAATAAATGTCAACAAAAGGAGACAAAATTCAGCCATAAAGCAAAATTTGTATTTTTAAATATTGAGAACAGCCATAATAAGATTTAAATAATGCATACATTAGACGGGTCATTAATCTGTACAATGATGATTGTAATATCATCAGTCCGAATGCTATGCTCCAACCATAGCTTGTAGGATTCTCCAGCAATTGCAGCACATGCATCCCTGGGATCTGTATATGCAGCTGCCTATGTGAAGAAAATTATAAATTTGTTAAGGAAATGCTCAAATTATGACACAAATATCTTGCAGTAATCAGCAGGAGAGATAGATTTCTACATCTCGGAAAAGCCACTTATACATGATAATGAGAAATTTTCATGATAGTATCAATAAGTGGAGAGTTCTACTAACAGTTCAAAAAGCAAACGACAAGGGAAAGTTCTTTTGCAATTCCTTTTAGAGTTTAATTATCAAACTTGAGAGTAAAATACAGGTTCACAAACATCATTTTGCAAGAAACATGAATTAAAATCGTGTCTATATGACACTAGCAATTTCTTGCAAATAAAAAGCAAACATGTCTCATATCAGCAAACACTGGAATGTCAACAGATGAATGATGGATATACCATAGTATTATAAACAAATGGGAAACATAATGGTCATTAACTATTCCCAGGATTTGCATGTATCATACCATGTTGACAACAGTTTGGCTACGGAGAAACTCAAAAACTCCATCACTTGCAACAACAAAGAATAGATGATAAGGTGTAAGCTGAACAATTGAAATCTCAGGAACAGCAATCACCCCAATCCTCTCCGCTGCACTATCTCCTACACTCCTTGTAAATGCAGCACCAGGTTTCATTCCATTCGGAAGCCACAACCTAGGAGGATCATTACGTTGACTTTCTTCATCACCCCAATATTGAATATCCGGGTCTTTGCGGCCTTCCACTTGACCAATACTCAAAACGCTGGCCCCACAAAGCTTCACCCTATCATATTCATCTTTCCTAAATGGTGTTTGATCCTCAGATAAATTTTCAGCCAAAATTTGATCCCCGTCCCTAACGGCAATCACAGCTCTTGAGTCACCCACATTAGCAACATAAAGGGTATTCCCAACAACAAGGACAGTTATCGCTGTGGTACCACTCTCAGTATCATCAATTTCACTATTATGTAACTCAGAATTTGTAGTTAAAAATGCCGAAGTATAAGCTTTTAAAGGATCATCCAACAATGCAGAGTCACTAGATAATATTTCTACAAGTCTATTCTTGACAAAGTTTGAACATTGAGCACCGAATTCACCATGTCCATCAAATACACCAAAGAAATGAACATTTGGTTTTCCTTGAATTTGTGTTTTGATACAGAAACTATCTTCGTTTTCCGTCTCAACTGCGACAGGATAATAACCACGCTGTGTTAAGATTGAGTACTGCAAGGTTAAGTTGTGAGATGGAACAGGAACTGACTCCAATGACCTTTGTGTAAGAATGTGTTTGTTATTGTAAGGTTTCTTTTCTCCATGGTGACCCGAACCACCATCTGATGACGATGGATTTCTAGTACAACACTTTCCATGAACACAACCCATGATTTCAAAACACGAAGTCACACAGAAAAAAGAATATAAAAATGAATTTTTTTTCCCAAAGTGTAGCTTAGGTGTTTGATAAAAGGCCTAAAAGAAACTGAATATAAAAGGGGCGTATTGCATAGAAGGAAACAATTTCAGGTAAAAATGGAGAAATGGGTTTTTCTTAAATTTAACATTTCGGGTATTCTTAGAGGAAATTTGGTTAAAAGACATGCTTTACAGAGAAGAAAATGAAGGGTGTTAATAAAGAAAAAGAAAACCCAAAAGGAAGAAAAGAACGAAATTTACGTGACAATGCAAACCACAAGAGTGGGTTTTTAAAGACAAAAAGGAAGAAATGGAACAGAGAATAAACCCTTGAACAAGCAAAAGAAAAAGGAAAGAGAAAAGTAGAACCCTAAATCAAGGCCAGGGAATAGAAGCAAAGGTTTTGAGTTTCTTGGGGATTCCTTCTTCAATTCAAGGGAAAAGGGATTTGTGCTTAAATTTTTCTCGAGAGAAAACAAAGATTAGATGCTCAAAAAGGAAAAGAAAGGAACCAGTGATTCAACGTAAGACCTGTTATCTTCCAGTTACATAAATGATAAATTTCAGTATTCATTTTATCACAACCCCGAACAAAAATTTTAAAAGATAATTGAAAATGTAAACACTAAAACTGAGGGGAAATGTGGATTTGTTTGCTTCAAGTTTTCAACTTTCAAGAGACAGTAAAAGGGCGAGATATAATGTGTGTGCATGGGTGAGGTTGTCCGCCCATTTTCTTTAAAGGAAAAAAGTCGGAGAAAACAAAACAATTAAAAAAAAACAGTGAAAAGTTCTGATTAAATGATGATTCCTTTACGGATAAATATTAATAAAGAAAAAAAAAGAATGAAAAATAAAATTTTTTAAAATAAAGAAAATGATGCAGGTAAGTTTTATTTGAATAATTAAAATTAATAAAAAAAATTTTAACAATCATTGTTTGAATAAAGAGTGAAAAATAAATGAAATGATTCATTATAATAATTTTTTTTCAATTATAACATTTCATTGTTTGTGATTTTAGAATACTTATAGATCATGATATATTTACTGTCTTATCTAACCTTACAATTACTACTATATCAATGATTTGTAATAAAGTGAAACAATAAAATATTTTACAAACATGCATTGATGGATTTTAAACTAATCAGTCATCTCATAAACTTAAAAAATATATCTATTCATATTCGACCATTCATCAAAATCAAATCATTAAAAAATTATAAAAAATTTTTATATTGAAAGAGATATGTGAAACTTACTTGAAAAAAATATGATTTTAAAAAAATTACAAGATAATTATAATCTGCTTAATTTTTTTAGATTTTTAGTGTATTAAAAAAATTAGATTTACAAGAAAAATTAAAGATTATTTGATTTACACATTTTTTTTTTTTAAAATTAAAAATTTATCCAAACAAAAGAATTGAGGTTTTGTTTCTTTTATATTCCTTTACTTTACTTTCCTTTTCCTTCTTCTACCTTCAATCTAAACATACCATTAATGTACTTTTGTAATGAAATATTTTATTTATATAATTAATTAAATAAAAAATTATAATTTCGAATAAAAGTATAATTAAACAATTAAACTCATATATATAATAATATTTACACTTAAGATGTCATGATTTTTTTGAATCTTATAAATTTTATAAAAAAATCATATTTTTTCTATAAAGTGGTAATAATTTGTGATGGACATTAACGATGCAAGTTTTGATTTTGTTATGGAAATTCATTAATTCTTGGGATATTAATCAAGTTAATGAAATGTTAATGTATAAATAAGTACTTAATAAATATTTTATTTTTTAAAAATATATTAGGGTAAATGTTTTAATAATTTTAATGATATGATTCAATAATTATAGTATTATTGATCATGCATTAAGTTTAACTTTTTTTTTTATAAATAGTTATTTATATTTTTCTACTTATAAAAATGAAAGTAATGTTAGTTTATATTTAATGATTTTTAATTAATTTTAGCTATTTAAATAGGATACATGTATGTTCAAACAATCTAATACGACACAAAAATGATATAAAAAATAAAAATAATATGATTTAAAATTTTAGTAAAAGTTATAAATAAGTTTAATAAATTCATATTTTTATATTGATATTAATTATAACATATAATTTTCGTATAAAATATAACATTGTCATAACAATTTTTTGTCCGGAAGAACACGATTGCTAGACTTGATAAAAATTTTTGAAGTCTTCATTAATCTTTTTTAATTAGGTGTGATTAGCCACCTAAAATTTTTATTTTTTTAATAAAAATTTTAAAACAAGTTTAAAGTTTATTAAAAATATATTTGCGATTTACAAAATCAAGATCGAGTCTGAAAGTGCAATTACAAATGGAAAAAGTATTAGTACCCCCATTTATCTATTTAAAGAATGGTATCAATTAAACATGTTTTATCCATTCACTTTAATAATATGATTTTCTTTATATTTAAAATTAATTCCTTAAAATTTATTTGTGAAAACTTATTTTATTGTGAAATTATTATTATTATTTTCATTATCTATAAATTCTCCAACGTTTTAGCTAAATTCATAAAAAATAATTTTATTTAAAAAAATTTTGAAAAAATTGGTCATTCACAAAATTCCTGAAATTTTGTCATAAGATATTTTATTTATTTATTAGAGTTGATTTTAGAATTATCCTAACTCTTTTACGAATCCCAAAAATCATTTCCCAAATTGATTTTATGATTATCTCGGCTCTTTAGCAAAATTTTAAAATCATTTTTCACACTTATTTTAAGATTATCCCAACCTTTTGGTGAAATCCAAAAATTATTTTTCAAATTGATTTTAAGATTATCCTAACTCTTTGACAAGATCTAAAAAAAATTATTTGTCAAATAGATTTTAGGATCATCTAAATTTTTTGGTGAAATCCTAACAAAAAATCATTTCTCTTGATGATAATTAAGAAAAATGAAACTCTTCAATTTTTTTTAAATTTTTACTCAAAATATTTAATTAAACATTTAATTAATTTTTCTTTCTGTTATTTTTTTCTTTTGTTATTATAATTTTTTATTTATACAATTTTTTATTTTTATAGAAAAATAATTTCTTGAATCATCCCAATAGTTTAGCGAAATTCAAGAAATATTATTGCTTATTAAGAAAAAATAGAACCCTTTCCACTTTCCTTAATATTATTATTATTTTGTTTTTCATTTTTATTTTAGATTATTTATTTTTAATTTTATTTTTTATTAAAATTATTACTTTTAATACTCCTTATTATTTTTATGTTTAATTTTGTTGTTAATTAAAGTAATTATAAAAATTATGACAAAACAATAAAAACACAAAAATCAAATCAAAATAAAAAATAAAAATAAAAAAAAAAAAAACAAGAGAGAAGGTTTGAAAATCAAAGCCTAATCTTTTTTTTTATTATTATTTTTCTTTATCCCTTTCTCTCTTCCATCAAACCCTTTCTTTAGTTCTTTTTCGTTCACCGACCATCATGTAATCCCAGTTTTTGGAGGGTAGCCTCCATGCCATCATTGAAAACTTTAATCGACTTTAAAAAATTCAAGAAATTTATAGTTGTCGGATGGTTTTTCAATTTCCATTGGTCGAAAAATTCAAATGGTTGTCGAAAAATTCGTATTTTTTAAAATTTTGGTAAAGCAAAAATTTTTAAAAAAAATCTCAAATTGATCTTTTTTGTCTCCCAAATACTTTTTTAAAACTAGTTTTTTCAAAAAAAAAAAAAATTCAAACAACCTAAATCAAAGATTTTGCTTTCGATTCTTTTTTTTTTTAATTTTTTTTCCCGGTTCCCTTTAAGGGAGGTGGATGATGATTTTTTTTTTTTAGTGTGATTTTGGGTTGGATTGATCTAGACAGAATGGTTTTTTCTTTTGTCTTTGAAATAATTTTTTTACTGTCGATTCCTCATAAAAGGATAAGATAACTTTGGGTGTTGGTATTTTGATTTCTTTGTGGGTGTGTGATTTTTGCAGAATGGCAGTAGATTTCTTGTCAAATTTTTTTTTTTTTATGAAAATTTTCCCCTTAAAACTCTCTCTATTGGCCCTTGATTTGTCGAGTTTATCCAGATCTTCAGGGATTCAAATCCTTAATTTTCTAAAGTTAGTGGTGTTTTTCTTTAAAACCATTAATCGATTTTCTGTTTCGATTGAAATTTAGGTCTTTTGTAGCAAATTGTTAACTCTAACACTAATCAAATCCTTTAAATCTAGGGATTATAATTCATTTTTTCAATTGATTAGGTGGTGACTAAGAAAAATGGAATAAAGCTTAAACTTTTGCTCCCATAGTTTCTTACCTCTTGTAAAAATTTATAACTCTTTTTTTTTTTACTTTAAAAATATTTAATAAAATAATAAGAATAATTGTATCCACTAATAAATCAAATAAGTTTAAATTGGACACATAAAACTTATAAATTCCATTTGGATCCATTTTGATAAACCTAAATAAAATTAAGTATTTATAGTTGCCCTTCTTTCCACATTTCTGACAATTAGGAATTGGGCAAAAACTAAAAAACAACAAATTTGTCTAGATGAACATGATGTTACAAAAACCAATACTTTTTTTCTTTTTTTGTTTGTATTTTTGTTTTTTTTTTTTTTAAGAAAGAAATAAGGAAAACACAAAAGCACACCACATATTTTTATTTTTACCATCGACTGAAAATAATTTGATTTTTGTTTAAAAGCTCCTCTAACCAGATGCTTTTACCACTTTAAATTTAAATTTTCAAAGGTCCTACAGATTATATCCCAAACATTTTATAAATCCAACCTGATCTTGAAAAACATTTTTAACTAGAGGCAAATAGATTTTAAAAAAATCCTTTAATCAGAGGCTTTAACGCTTTTTAAAAAAACTCCTCTAACCAATAACTATGGCATTATAAGAAACCTCCTCTAACCAAGGCCTATGGACACTTTAAATAGCTCTTTAATAAGGCCATGGCCACTTGAAAAAATAAATTTTGAAAGGTTTTATAGATTATGCCCCATTAGTCGTACAAATCATGCTATTTCAAAAAGTTCTTTTCCAAAGGGGTTTTAAAATTGAAAAACTCTTATAACCAGAGGGATATGAAACTTTGGAAAAACTCTTGTAACTAGAAATTATGAACTTTGAAAAAAATTTTCTACACCAGAGGCTATAAAACTTGAATAACTCAACTTAACCAGAGATAATGATACTTAAAATTAAAAATCTAAGAGGTCTTATAGATTATATCTTTTGATTTTACAAATCATGCCCTTAATTTGAAAAGGTCATCTATCCAGAGGCTCTCAAAATTAAAAAAAAACTTATCTAACAAGAGGTTATGATACTTTAAAAACTCCTCTAACTATGGGCCTTTTGTAGAGACCTAAAACGACATCATTTTGAAATTAAAAAGTTCACACCTGACTTGGTTTTAACTTGTGCATTGACTTGCATGTCTGACCTGATCCGTTTGGTAATATTTTCTCTTTTTTTTTCATTCTATTTTTATTTTTATTTTTTGATTTGATTTTGTTATTTTTTGTTAGAATTTATTTTCATAATATATATGTATTTTTTTAACTTACAAAAAATAATAAATAATTATAATGAGTAATAATTTTAATAAAAAATACAAAATCAAGAATAAATAATTGTTCTTAATCTAAATAAAAAATATTAAATAAAAATAGTTATTAAGGAAAATGGAAAGAGTTCTTTTTTGCCTTAATTTTATAAACAATAATATTATTTGAATTTTGCTAAAGTGTTGGGATGATTTAAGAAATTATTTTTGCTACAAAAATAAAAATGAAAAAATAATTGATTATTTGAATAACTCTTTTAAAATGTAATTTTTAAAGAAAATTGAAAGGATTCAATTTTCTTTAATTAATGCAAGTAAAAATACTTTTGGATTTCACCAAAAGAGTTGGGATAATCTAAAAAGTTATTTTTACTAAATAAAGATTTATTTAAATAAAAAATAATAATGAAATAATAAATAAAAAATAATAACAAAATAACAAAAAAAATTAAATGTTTAATTAAATCTCTTTAGTAGTAATTTAAAATTTTTTTGAAAGAGTCTCATTTTTCTTAATTATTATCAAGAGAAATGATTTTTTTAAGATTTTGTCATAAATTTAGGATAATTCTAAAATCAATTTGAGAAATGATTTTTGAATTTTGCTAGAGTGTTGGGATGATCTTAAAATCAATAAGAGAAATGATTTTTGGATTTCATCAAAGAGTTGGGATAATCTTGAAATTAATTTAAAAATTATTTAAGATTTCGTTAAAAAGTTGGGATGATCCAAAAATTAGTTTAAAATTTTTTTTAAAGATTTTATTAAAGAATTGGGATAATCCTAAAATTAGTTTAAGAAATGATTTCTAGATTTCATCAAAAGAGTTGAAATAATTCTAAATCAACTCTAATAAATAAATAAAATATCTTATGATGAAATTTCAAAAATTTTGAGAATTATCAATTTTCTTGAAAATTTTTTGAACAAAGATCTGTTCTATAGATTCTGCTAGAGTGCTAAAGAATTCATAGGAAATGAGAATAATAATAATAATTTCACAAAAAAATGTTTTTCTTAAAGAAATTTTTAAAGGAATCAACTTTAAATATTAAAAAAAAAATCATATTATTAAAGTAATTGAAAAACACATATTTAATTGGAATTATTTTTTGATAAAGTGATGTAAGGGGTATTAACACTTTTTCTACTTCTAATCATACTCCAAATCCATTCTTGATTTCGTAGACCAAAACATTTTTTAGTAACTCTCAGTTAATTTTGAGATTTTTTTATTCGAAAATGATCTTTTGGAAGACCAATAACACTCTTACAAAAAAGATTGATGATAATTTTGAAAATTTTCATTAAATCTAGTGCTCGAGTCCTCCGAACAAAAAATTGTTATGATAACACTAATATATAAATTATCATCATTTTATACAATACGAAGACATAAATTATTATATATTTCTTTACTTTAAAAACCATTAATTTCCATTACTTTAAAAACCCTTCATTTCTTTTATTTTTTTCCTTTTCTTTATTAATATTTATTTAAACATATAGTAATTAAGATTATATTTTAAAAATTATATTTATAAATATTTATTAAATTTAGTAAAAATAATATACTAAATGTAAAACTTTTTCTTACGATAATATTTTAACTATTTTAGCTTGTGCTTATAAGCATATACGTTCATAATTTGGTCAAACTTTAATTGCTTGCTAATGTAATAGTTTCTAATTTAACGAAATTTCTTTTGATTTATATGTTAAAATACTTTTTTTTTACAAAAAAAAAAAATGTTACAATTTAAAGATAAAAAATAAATTACAAATATTAAAATTTGAATTCTAAAATTATTAAATACCACTATTTAAAGATATTTACATGAAATAATTATATTATAATTCGAATACATCCAAGCCATTTTTACTATTTAATTTATTATTGTCACAGTTCAAATTATGACCAACAAATATATTCTTTTCACAAGAAAAAACATAATCTTACATTATTTATATATATATTTATTTCTTTATCAATAAATTTATTAATTTTGTCAACGTAAATAATGTTCATGAGAAATTTTGGAACTGTTCAGTGATAAAATTTTTTAATTCTTCAATGTTTGAAATGTCCATTGGATAATTTAGGAATTATTAAGTGAAAATTTTTTCTTCAAATTTTTTATTTTTTAATTTTGAGGTGTCTACGAACACACTAACTCATAAGGGGGATTCGCCATTGCTTTAGGTTGAGAGAGTGTTTTCCAAGCTGTTCCAGTGTTCCTCAACACTTATTCAACATTTCTCAGTTATTTAAAACTTAGAAGACATGCATTAGTTAAAATTTCCTTTCTGTTATTTGATTTGTATCATCTACATTGCTGAATTTAATGCTTGCTTGGGAATGTAATCACCGGGGTCTGAAAATCAAAGGAAACAAGTAGAGTTGATATCGAGTCAGGTTCGGGGCGGGTTTTGTTTGTCTTAAACTTGATATTATTTGAATTTTTTTTATTTTTTCATACCTGAATTCAATCTCGATCCAATATTATATAAATCGTATTCGATCCGATCCGACTCGAAATTAATAAAATATTATTTTTAAAATATAAATATTTAAAAATATCATTATATAAATATATATATATAAATAAATAATTAAATAATTAATTAAAAAATAATTTTTTATATAATATCGGATCGGGTTGGGTCGAATTTGCCTAAAATCCGAACCCGATTGTTTCATAATCTTATTTAACCCGAAACTAAAAAAAAAATATCGATCCCGTAAGGTCAAATCGAGTCAAAACCCGTCGGTAATGGGTTAAATTACCAACCTTATAAACAAGTTACTGTAATCAAACCTTCACTTAAACTTTTTTTTTTATATAAAAAATTCGTAATATAAAAATATAAAAAAAATTATAAATGTTAAGATTTAAAATTTAAAATTATTAAATATTATTTTTTAAAATGATTATATGAACTGAATTAAGCTACCAGTTGAACATAAATTACAGCAAATTGAGATAAAAACATTTATAAAATTATTGCATCCACTTTGGCATTTGAACTGGGCTTTAGTATTCCTAACAAAAGAACTAGCCCAAGAGTGAAACCGAGTTAAAACTTAGAAGCAAGCCCAACCAAATCTTAATCTACTCTAAATTGGCCAACCAAATCATGAACTATTGACTCACAAATTATATATTAAGGTTTCATTTGAGATTAATTACAATAAAATTGAAAATAATAATAATAATTATTATAATTATGATTAAAAATATTTTTAATAAAAAATTTATATTAATTTAATTTTATTAAAATTAATATTTAAATTCAACTTAAGGTTGCAATCAAGTTATTCGTGTATTGTTGAATTGTCATATTCTTTCTAGGAGGTTGTCCCTACTTTCCAAGTCTGGAAAGAAAGAAAAAAAGGGTTTTTAGAATTAAGCCCAAATCATGTCCTCCAAAATCAGAACCACCATGCCTTGATTTCTACTAGATAATTAAGGGGTAAAGGGATTTTGAATTTCGTCCGATATTATATATTTTTGTTGAATTAGTTCAATTAAATTTATTTACGTTGATTTAATAAATTTATTAAAAAATTATTTTTTAATAATTTTTAACAAATTTAAACAATAAAAAAATAAAATTGTTTTTTTTTTTTTTTTCCAAATGAGCCAAAATCACTATTTTTCATGCATAGCTCGTTCTCAGTCCCAAGCTATGTTAAATGGCAGCCAAATGAATGTTTAAGTGCTAAGACCAAAAAATTGGCTATGCTACCTTATTTTGAGTTGGCCTAGTTCAAAAATTGGATCTCTCAAAGGTCACGGGGCCTTGTTTTTTTTTTTCAAAATTGCATCAGAGCTATTGGTAATAGTTTAGGATATAAAAATCAAGAAAATCAAATTTTGATTTAAAATTGTAATGTGTGATTTGATTTAGGTCAATTTTTTTATTCGATTCAAATTAAATTTAAATATTAAATATATATGTTAGGTTCAAATAAGATTAGAAGAAAAAAAATTCAAACCGAATTAAATTGAATTATATATTTTTATTAATTTATATATTTTTTGAATTTTTATAAAATAAAAAAAATAATTTTATATCAAAATTTATTTTAATATTTTTATATTAAAATAATATATAAAAAATTAAAATTTAAAAACCAATAAATCAAATCGAATAAGAAAAATTTGATTGGATTTAAATCATATAAAGATTCGATTTGAATTTAGATCAAAATTTTAAATTCATAATATTATATATTATCTAAAAAATCAAATCAAATCAAATCAAATCTGATTCAAATAATTATCACCTTTTATAATTTAAAATTTTACAAAATTGATAAATCGAATTAAATAAAAATTTTTTGATTTGGTTCGAATAATATAAAGAGTTGATTTGAATTTACGCCAAAATTTTAAAATTTATAATATTATGTAATAGATAAAAAAATTAAACTAAATTCAATCAAAATAATTATTATTTCTTATAGTTTAGAAGCTAGTATTTTGCAAAATGGTCATGGGAAATTTTCAATTATTTTGCCGAATTCCTTGGTAGGTATAGCATTCTCTTCGCATTTAACAAACCATCAATCCATTATACATAAGAAGCAATTGCACTTGTTTTGTTTCCATTCTAATTCTCTTTTCTTTTGCATTTTTTTTTATGAAATCGACCAACTCTTTACCATATAAATAACATAAGCTAGAGTTGTTATTAATTACGTATTCTATTGATAAAATATTTAACTTTTAATTTTAATTATCAATATCAAAATATGATTGCCTTAAGTTAAAAAAAAAAAACATAATCTCAAGTAAAATTTGAATCATGTGCAAATTATATGACAAAACGACAAGAAATTACTATTTCAAAATCTTCATTATAATAAAATATATATATGGTGACTTCCACGAGAGCTGCATAATTGTTGTAAAGAAAATTTCATGCATAAAACAAGATGAAATAGAAGAACAATTGAAAAGGAGAGAAAAGAATAGAAAAAAGTGTAATTTGTTTTCTTAATCATCTAAAACATAAAAGAAAAGGGAGCAAATGGAATGGAAAGAAAAAAAAAAGGAGAAAATAGAAGGAAAGAAAGAGAAAGATTTCAAATAAACCTTCAAAAACATGAGCACTTTTTTTTTTAATCCACCACTACATATAACCTCAAAAATCATAGGCGTGACAATCCAAAGTGGGGTGCATTATCATGGTGATTCCAATTTCTCACATCTCCTCCTCCCCACCTTTTGATCTGCCACGTCATTCCCATAAAATCCCCTACACTTTTTTTTTTATCTTCCTACTTGAGTCAACACCACATTCATCACTCTTTTCAACCAATAAAATCCCTCCACGTCATCATATTTTTATCCTTTGATTTTCCTCCAATTAAAATTTTCTCCAACTAACCTCTCTACTTCTCTGATTTTATCTACCTTTTGTTTTGGGTTTTCTTTCTCCGGCTTATTTACGGCGAGCCGCGGTGAACGTTTGGAAAACGATGGTACCGGCGGTGGGGAACTCGTCCATTGCACAGCTCCGGCATTTGAGTCCCAGTGGCTCCAAAGCATGTGCCACCCTTGTCCAAACTTCATGGCTATTGCTTGTTGTCGAAACTGAAACTGTTGCTGGTTTGAAAACTTGAACAGCTTTCTTCAGGGTTTCAACAGTGTCATCTTGGTCGTCGTAAATGGACCCCACGCACTCGAAGCTAGCGTAGCTGTAGCCATCTTCAGGGGTGACATGGATTGTTGAGTAACGATCACCATCAATGCCATTCATGGAGTAGCCGCAGGGGTCAAATGCAAAGTCGCAAATGAAGGCGCCAGGGTTGATGTTGTCGATGCCTGTTAGCTCCGTCATTTCTTTGCCAGCTGAGTCCCCTGTTTTGCTATCTCCAGCTTTTTTGAAGAACTTACGTGCTAGATAGCGGTCGAGTTCGGTCATGCAAACTTCGACAGTGAACATAACGTCGGGGGATTTCAAGGCAAATTGTGGCAGGTGAGTTTGGTCACTGGCTGTGAAAACGTGCCATGAATAAGAAGGGAGTTTCGAAGGCAAAACGGAGGCTTTTCTATGGCAAAGATTGTTGGGGAGGTTTTCTTCAATGTAAATGACTTCTTCTTTGAAGTTGGTGTGAGGGAAAGGTTGTGATTTGGGGAAAATGAAGCTGCCCCTGGTGTACCTACACCCGCATATAGTGAGGCCAAGATTGTTTGCAAAATGGATCAATGGACCGATTGATTTGAGGAGTTGGGTTGTTCCACAGGTTTTGATGATGATCTTGGTAGGGTAAACAAACAGACTTGATTCTGATAACACGTAAGCATCAAAGAAATGGTTCCCAACAGCTGATACAACAGTGCATTGGACAGCATGTAATACTTGCTCGAGTGATTCGAAATCAAGCAGCCTAAGCCCCATATTGTCAATATTCACTGGATCATCTCCAAAGAAATGGAGCTCTAGGCGCTTCTCAAACCCTTCAAACCCTGAAACAGCCATTTCTAAGACCTTGACAAAACAAAACAACAAACACCCAAAGACAGAAACTTGAAAACAGAAACGGGAAACAAGAAAAAAGAGACAGATCTTGTTAATTTGTGGATGTTTGAACAACTACAGGTGAGAGAGAGAAGTGGGAGGGATACTAGATTTTATAGGTGGCTTGTGCGAGAGAGAGAGAGAGAGAGAGAGTGGAAGGTGGAAGGGGAGAGAAGGAGAGGGGGGCATGCGGATGAGGCAACCAAGAATCATGATTGCAGCCATAATGAAGTGAATAAGATGATGATTTGTTGTAAAAAATTTCCCTTTTCTTTTCCTTTGTTTTGACAGAAGAAATCTTTCATGATACAAAGGATAAAATGGAACGGTATTTATGCCCACGCGCATGCATTTCAGGTTCTTGTCATGCTCATGCACCCACTCTTGCCACCTCTCCAGTCAGTCCCAATCAGCATTCCTCCATTGCTAATGAGCATCAATAAAGCCCCCTAGCTTTTCTCTTTATTTATACTTCTCATATGTCATCTTAATATTGTAAGAATAAATTTATAAATGTACAATAGTGATATCAGAAAGTAGTTTTAAGATTATATGAAAAAAATTAAATTGGAACAAATCAAAAGACCACTATTGCATTCTATCTTTAGATGATCTCAAATCTATGATCAAATAGTTTGAATTCGAAGAAGCAACAAGGCATGAAAAAAAAAGCAACTTGTTTCGATTGAATAATTCTCGGTACTAATTTAAGGATGATGCTGTTGGGAGAACTGATTTATATTAGAGGGACCATAGCACAATAATCATAGACATAATCCTTCTTTGCTCATCAACATTTTTGTGAGAGTTTATACGGATTTTGGTCTCAAATTTAGTGATTATGATACGTGTAATGTACCAACAACCCCTACTGCGGCTTCAATTGGTAAGTAAAAACATGTAAATGGAAATTTGAGCCTAACTTAATTTATGTAATCATTTTTACGAGATGATATTTTATTGATTTAAAATTTAATTTTTTTAATTTTAGATGTAATCTTTTTTAGATGAGAAAGTTTCTATTGTTCACAGGCAAACTTTGATTAAGCCAAACAAACTGGGACTTTAGCATGGATCATCAATCATGAAACCTTTGTGTAGTTCTTTTTTTAATGGGAAAAAAAAATGTCAAAATGGGGGGTTAAAGTCCCGTTGAAAAAGATCAAAATTAAATGCATTCATAAGAGGAATTGTGGTCATGACGATTGGGTCAAAACTTATGGAGAACTACTGTTTCTAAGTCATTCGCATGGGAGTTTTGTAGAACAGCAACATAATCATAGGCCGGACCAAATGTTTCAATGAAGGGAAATTAATCATCAGATTTGCAATTAGAAATGACTGGTGATGTTAATTTGCTGTTTATAGATGTTTTCAAGTACCTACTAGGTTTATAATTAAATCTTATAATTTAAAATATATTACGATAACATGAAAAATATATAAAAATGATAGGATTTGAAATTTTATTAATAATTATATATATGTTTTAAAAAATAAAAAATTAATTTTTTTATTTTCATATCAACGTAAATTATAATATATAATTTTTATATAAAATACCATATAAATATATAAATTTTAATATTTTACATCATATAAATACACAAATTATTCAATAAACAATGAGATAAAACGGGATAAGAGCATGACATAACATAACAGTAAATTTATTGCACTAAACTAAAATTTCACAAAATTTTGACAGCGATTCACTTATGAACATGTATTTTAAAATTGAAAATCTTGCAATTTTGAATAAATTCAGCATGACAAACATTTTTTTTTAATTCAAAGATAGGTGTTTTCAGATTTTGTCTTTATTTAATTTTTTTGCTTAAGATAATTTTATGAACAAATTTCTTTTAATTTTAATTTTTATGATTCAAAATTTTATTTTCGAAATGCTTTTCATAATGATTAAATTCTCATTGACAACAAAAAAAATTCATCTCTTTATCACTTGAATTAACCATTGTAGGTCGATAAATTTATTTTTTCAAAACCTTGTTGGTGAATTAAATATTTGTTTTTGGATTAAGTAGTTAATGCAGTGAAAAGTTTAGTAGGAAAAAGGATGAGAGCAACTGGGTTAAATGGGAAGCTTTGTCCATCTGAAAGAAGGCATATATGGTGATTAATAAAAGCTAGACGTGCCAAAAATATCATCAATATTATTATAGAGTAAAATAATAATTATGCAGAACCACAAGTTTGCAGAAATTAAAAAAAGAAAATACAAAAGGAATCAGGCGTGGCAACTATGTAATGAGAATATCCTTGAATTAGGGGAAGCCCTAAAATCAAAAGCAATCTCATATCATTTTTATTCTCCATGAACCAAAAAAAAAAAGAAAATTCCATGAAGTTGAGCATTATCATCTTTTTTTTTTTTTTTTCATTCCTTAATGCACTCTTCTTAACCATATCCCTAATTAATTTGAACTGAAAATGTTCTTTTTAAACTATAATACTCTAATATCATATTGGAATATTTTAAGGATTTATTATTATATATAAATTGATATTTAATTTTAAATTTATAAAGTATTTTTTATGAGATAAAATTATAAGACCTTCAAATTAAACGGATAATACTTCGTAAGTTGAGTACGAATTTTCATAAATGGTATCAGAGTGATTATCAGTCAGATAGAAGCTAAGTGCTATACCGTAGAGCCACTTCTAGAATCCTGTGGGTGCTAAGCATTATATGGTGAGAGCCACGTCTAGAATTCTCACATATGATGTGATCTTGTAATTTGTGTACACTTTATGTTGGACTTGCCCAACGTTTGGTGTAATTTGATTGATCTGTGTTTTATGTTAAGTTTGAGGAGACATCAAATTTTAATAGAGAGAATTTGTAACACCTCAATCTCATATCAAGATATTTTGAGAATTTGTTATGATATATAAATTGAGATTTAATCTCAAACTTATAAGACATTTTTTGTGAAACAAAATCATAAAATCTTCACGTTAAAATAAAAGATATCTCACAAATTGAGTGCAGATCTCCACATAAACACAATAATTTTATCACTTTTTTAATAATCATCATTTTCTTATCAAATCTTTCACAACTTTTTTCTGTTAATGCCTCAGTTTGTCATAACATTCTTTTTTTTGGTCTCATACTCTCAATAAAGATTTACATATCACCCATTAAAAAATTTGCTTACAACAAAATTTTAATTTTAATTTTATAAATAAAGTATTTTTATCGACTCAATCAACTTTTATAAGTTGTCTTAACATAATTTGAATTGTGATTATAAAAGCATATTTCCATGTTTTTCTTCAATCCTGGAAATTGCAAGTTATAGTTAGTTTTGAACTGCAGATAATATATATAGTTTCCTGTATGAATTTTAGGTTGCAAGAATAGAAAATTGAACATGTTGTAGTGGTTTTTTTGTAGCTTTAATGAAGATGAACCTAGACTAGCGAATAAACAAGAATTAAAATAATGGAAAATGGAGGTAATTAGTGCTTTGGATATATAGCTTTTAGAAGTAGTTTCCTAATTGACTTAAACTACCTTCCTCATGACATTTTTAGTCTCCTTGGCTTTTAATTTAAGACTTTACACCAAAGACTATAATAATAATTCAACATGATAAGCTCCAAGGAAGCTTCCCTCTACAAGTATAAAGGAGAGATACATGAATAAGCAAAGGTGGAATACAAGAAAAAAGTACCATCATTATCTCAAAAGCAGCTCGTTAGAATTAGAAAGGGTGGAGCATGAATTCACTAGGGATAATACTTCGTTTGGTCTCTCAATTATTGAAATTTTTTTATTGAAGTACCAAAACAAAAAAAAAAAAAAATTGAATTAGGTATCTAAATTTCATTTCTATATATTAAGTTGTCCCAATCTCTTAATATTGTTAAAATAATATTATCGTAATATTTAAATGCTAACTTGGATGATATGTGACTATTATATAATTTGAGACGTGGTTATCATGTGTTATTTTTAAAAATAAAATTAAAAAATTTTTTTTTTTAATTTTTTAAAAATAATACGTAATAATTATATCATTGTCGTATGACAATCACGTGTCATTCATGTCAATATTTAAGTATTACATCAATGTTATTCTAATGATATTAAAAGTTGAAATAATTTAGTATACGAAAATAAAATTTAAAAACCTGATTACAAATATTTTTAATTTAGATATTACATTAAATAAATTAAAATAATTTAAACATCAAATAAAATATTATCCCATTTCACTAGCTTGTTTCAAATTGAATATTATATATAGTATGGTTAAAGGTATTTTTAAATTTTGCTTTGATTAATTTTTTTAACAACTTTAAGAGTGCACTTTTTCATCAATCTCTTACATTCAAAATTTTTATTTTTGAAATGCGTTTTTCACGATAATAAAATCCTAATTGATAAAAAAAAAAACACATTTGTTTTTATCAACTAGATGATCCTTAATTAATTTTAATTTAATATGGAAAATTGCTTTTATCCTATTGATGAAATTACAAAGGAGTACATGAAAACAAAATGAAGAAATGCAAGGGTGGAGAGGCAATAATAATGATGAAAAATGTTTAGTTAAAATTGAAATATGCAGTTTTAAAGGGTGGAATGATTCAGAATGTATGCGTCATGAATCATCTTATATGGGTGGGTGGCAGGGCAGCCTCCATTATGACCACAATCCGACATCTTGAGCTGCACGCGCACTCACCAAACTCACACACTATCTATCTCAAGCACACAAAAAGTTCCTCTCCCTCTAACCCTCGACTCAACTCTTCTCTAAATTTTCTCTCTTTCTTTTTTTTTTTTTTTTTTTTGGGTCTGTCTCTCTCAACAAAAATGGTCAAACACTTCCAACAATGATACCTATTTATTATTTAAATCAAATCTTACTTTAAAAGTCCCAACCAAACTCTCAACAAAATCCCACCTTTTACATCAAAAGATGCAAACAAAATCTTCCTTGTTAGGATTTAATTTTACTTTTTAAAAAACTTGGGTAATTTTGGATTACATTTGATGATTTTTGTTTTTGTTTTATGTATATTTTTATTAAATATATAAAATATTATATTATAATTTATATTGATATTTTAAATATAAAATAAATATATTTAAATTTTTATTAAATTTTGAATTCATTATTTTTTTGTATTATTTTATTAAAATTTAAAATTATTGTATCTGAATTTGAAGGGACAAAAAAAAAGAAATAATAAAAAAAAAAAAACCAAGGCCTAATCCTAATCCTAATCTTTTGTCCCACTTTGCCACCTTTTTAACCTCTCCTACCGCCAAACCCAAATCATGC